AAATGTAAACGTATTTCTTTATAAACAGAGAAACACAGCAGCATGTAGATAGTATGCAAATTGCAGGCAGCAGCGTAAGCCTGTGGATTTGGAATGAATCTGATTCACCAACACAGACAGAGTTGTAAGAACAAAGCTGGCGGTGCACACGTGTCGTGAATCTGATGGTGATTTTGCATGCACCTAATTTTTTGTGCAGGGTAAGAACATTTCCATGCACATATTAGTGAATGAGACCCATTGTGAACTGTATACAAGTACTACTTACGTCAGCCAACACAAATACTACATCAGGCATAGACAGACCCACTCTGAGCCAGGAAAGAAAGTAGAAGAAGAGAGGAAAAAAACCCAAACAAAAAAAAAACCTATCTACATGGAAAAAAATTATATTTTATGAAATTTTTTTAGTAAAACGTTAAGTTAGTTAGTGTTTAGAAAAAGTAGTAAGAGTAACTTTTTTCACTGAGAAAAAAAATAATATATTGGTCAAGCAGGTAGCAGCTGTTACTACTCATTTTATTCTAAAAGAACAGTTAGTTAAGGAATGTGATGGCACTAAACACTAATACAGCCTGTGATAGCTACAAAGAGCATCAGACTGGAGTTATCAGGCAATACTTTGATCTAATTTTACAATACCAATGTTGCCATTACATCCCACTGCCCTACACAATAGGCGCCTGGGCCTGCAGCATTTCTCTTGGGGTCTAGATCACATGGTGTGAGTGAGTGAGGCATCTGACAAGATGCCTTTTGGTGCCCAACTTTGGAAATGTACTGAGGGTCTGACTTGATGGGAGGACACCACAGGAAATATCCATAATATGCAGGTAGAGTTTAATTGTGGAGGTCTTTATCACCACATTCATCCCCTACCCCTTGTCTTTTTCAATGTATGATACCAGTTGGAAATTTGGAGAGCTAAATGACAGGTTAATGTTTTTGCACCTATTGCAAACCAGTACTGCTGTGAAAAAAAAAAAAACAAAACACATAAGTCACACAATAAAATTGAAAAAAAAAAATCCAAATTCTATGAATAAATTCAATTCAATTCAAACAGCAGGGTCTTGTAAGATAAAGAATCCTACAATAATACATTGACAATTGGCGATGGTTGGAAGGAAAAACTCCCTTATAACAGGAAGAAACCTCCAGAAGAACCAGGCTAAGAAAGGGGTAAGCATCTACCATGACTGGTAAGTGGAGGAAGACAAGATAATTTTGATATCAATTTAAAACAGAGCCAAATGCAGTATAATAAATAAATTCCAGTGTGATTAAATTACTAAGAACAAATTAAGACTAACTTAAAAACATACAAGTAAATTTATAACAACACTATACTGATGAAGCAAGCCGGAGTTCCACAGGCAGGCAATTCGACATTTGAGAAGCCCTAACTGCAAACACCCAGTCGCCTTTTGCCCTAGTTTATCCAAGGGACAAAATGATCAAAGTTATAAAATAAGAGGAGCAAGAGTAGAAACAGGGGAAACCCCCTGAATGGAGTAATGCTACAGCTGCTCTAAGTTCTCTGCCCAACTTAAGGTTTGTGACAGAGAGAAAAAAATGCCTGCTAGTTTACAAGAAAGGAAAACGGCAAACTCTGTTTACAAAAAACTGCACCACGAATATGTACAAAAACAAGCTAAAATAGAAAACCCTCAGTAAGAACAACCCACCCATTGAGCAGTTCTGCGATCTGTAACCCTGATCAGGATGCAGCTAAGCACTTCAGGACAAAAGAGGAAGCTTCTTCACAACACAGGATGTGGGGCAAGGGGAAACATTGGCCTAGACACAAGCTTGCTTTGAATACTGTCACAACTATACAATAGATGTGTGGGCTAGCCACAGCAGGCTGGCAAGATCAAACATATGCTCGGTCTTTACAACAATCAGCTCAATAGCCCTGTGGTTAACACTAGGTTTGGCCAGTTGCACCACACTGCAAAACAAAGGAAGCTATTGGTAAACAGTGATTGACATCTAGTTTCCTCAGTCTACAGAGTGAGCTTTACCGATTCAACTATCAGTTACCGGAGACATGACTATATTACATATAAAGCGTCTTTGCTGAACAGTGAACAGAAGACTGAGACACCGGGAGATGAATGTGAAACATACCTTAGAAAAACGCCCTCCTATTTGGACGATGGGGCAGTTCCACCCTTCATGTTTCAATCCATCTTCACGTTGTCACTGAAATGTTTGAGGAGAAAATCATAACACAAACAACAACACACAGCCTGCATCAGCAGCAATTCGAGTGATTCACACTGCCTAGCAGCAGGTTAGCTAACACTGTGTTTGGGAATGACAGCTCAGAGATGACAACTACTTTACAACGTTTCACGCTATAGATAAAACAATAACACAGTCTCGACAACAGCGTTTATAACCATTCCGCCTCTGAGGAACTACAAACATTATCATTCGACTAATGTACGCCAGACTGGAAATTGTTAACGTTAGCCCCCTTCTTCTAACGTTAGCTAATAGCTAATAGTGAACCGTGTTGGGGAAAAATATATTCCCAATATAAAGAACGGGTCGTGTGTCTAATGAGGGGTGCAGATATAGCTAATTTAATGGAAGAACCTACCCATATGGCTTGGCGTCAACACGGCGACGTGTTCGTGCGCTAAAAGGCTTCCCCCGGCTAATGCCAGTTAGCCAGCTTTTCTGCTAGCCAACCCCTCCGGTTCCCAACGGTGGCTCCCGGCGCCGGTCAAAGCAGGCTGTTATCCGTCTGTCAGCTTCTGCGCCAGCTATCCGTGACAGCAGCCCCGCACTGACAATCAGCTCGCTTTTGTTTTGAATTATAAGCCACACCGTAAGTGAAGACAGACCTGCCTGTCCGGTCAGGGGGACTCCACCTGAGGATGTTATGACCAGCTAAACTGCTGGTCGACTGGACAAGTTGTCTTGCTGCTGCGACAATGCAGCCACGCTGTCTGTCTAGGGCCCTCCTCCCTTCCCATGAAACACACACAAACACGCACCGAGAGTGAAACTGCGTGGGATTTATCGGTGTCATATATTTGTGGTATGAGGCGTGTGACTCACTTACATTTCAAATAGCAAAACAGATCCTATTAGAGAATCGCACTACATTGTCGCAGTGTTACAAAAATAGGACAAATTAGTGTGTTTGTGGGCGTGCCTCACACTTTTTTGTTTTGTTTTTACAAAGTGGACCATAGGCATAATTTTCATCTACAGGGAGCGGAAGTCAGAGCACTGAAAAATAGCTAGAAGAAAAAAATCTAAAAACAAAACTATATATATATATATAGGGAGAGAGAGAGAGCGATGATAGTATGATTGTTGACATAAAACAAACAACCAAAACACTATTATTGCCATTATAATTATTATTAATAAAACTAATAATTGTTTATGTTTTATTTGTACATCTTATTCGCATTTTTAATGCCAGAGTTAGTGCGGCTATTTTCTCTGCCAGCAGGGGTGATCTGATTGTATGACAGAGGTGTAACATAGTTATACGATGTGTCTTGATTGCCACCCATGTTAAGGAGCAGAGAAGCAGCAGTGGCATCGGAAATGGACTGTACCAAGAAGGAGAGGGGAGGTTAGGGGAATCCAGGCTGGGTTTATGTCATTAAAATCTAGTTTAGAGAATAAGAACATCGTTGCTGATGTTTAATGTGACAACACCCGCACATCTGGCATGTAAGTCAAGGATTAGCACTTTTTCTCCCTTGGTGTCGCCTTCTGAATTTCCACTCTCCTCTCTCGGGCACCCCTCCGGTGAGAGCCGCGGCGTCTGAGCGTTGGTAGGGACTGTCATCCTGCCTGGCTGCCCGGTTTTTTGGAGAGGAGAAGTTGGCAGAGGGATGTTCCTGCGATGATGGCGCTGCAGCTTAAGAGCGGGGATGCCGCGTACTACCAGAGTGCAGAATACTGCAGAAACTACACTTCGCCGCCTGTCAGCTACGGTGACAGCAGCCATTATCTCGCACGATTGCCAGGTAAGGGGAGGCTGGTCCAGACAGGACCTGCCCTCTGACTGTCAGCAGTTCTCATGCGCATATGTGCGAGGATGGAGAAAAATCTAATCGGAGACATTTGCATATGATAGCGAGGATGTTTAAGCCGGTTGCCCTGATGCTACTGTCATCATCTTAATGTCATACCGGCGGGTGTGAGGAGGGGGTACACGAGCCACCATTCTGTTCAGGTTATAGAGCATGGATGCTGCGATGCAAAATCTGAGGTTGTCGATACTCTTGTAGCCTCTCGCACTACAGGAGAGCTCCGAATCGCTTCATCCACGAACACTCCAGGTTTGAAATATGCGAAACCTTAATGTAATGCTTAGTTTTCTATCTCGAGCACCGCTGTCTGTGAGAACAAGCGAAATAATCATTGTGGTCTCCTTTACTTGAGTCGCTGCACAACTGATGGTGACATGTGGCAATTATACGGAAAGTGTTTCTTCCCTGGACCTGCAAAGTCGCTGTAATAGCGGGCTTTGCTGGCTGGTTTTAGGGGACTCGAGGTCAGTGTCTGTCATAGATGATGAAGATTACCGCATGAGAATGATCAACCCACTTGGTAATATCCGTGTCATCAAACAGTGACTTGTCATATTCAGTTAAGGTTCTCAGTCATGGTGAAAATGTCACAGTGAATTCACGTTGCAGTAATGCATGAATGTAGGTGGATCTGAGGGTGTAAAAGTACCCCATCAATGGGACAGCCACAGGAAAAAAAGAATAAGTACCATTTTCATGCATCAGCCCGCTAAGTGATGAAAAATAAGAAGAAATAAAGAAATAGACCTTTTGTGTGCCTTTCTCTGTGAATGGTTTTTCAGTTTAATAATGCCGCCACTTTTAACTTTTAACTTTGGTACTGTTATTATTGTCAATGTTTCTATGTTACTGACTAAATGTTTTATCAGTTACCAAAGCCAATAATAACACCTGCAGCCAGAAATATGCACATGCTTCCCAGCAAGATGTTTTGAAATTATGATAGTTATCTTCTATGAGATAGAATGGACACTAATCAATATAGTAGTAGCAGCTTAATGGATTGGCCATGTGACTGTGAGTCTTTAAAGGCAAATAACACTGACATGTTAGATATTGGACCACTGGATCATTCTATTAACATAAAGTCTTCTCTAGTAGTAGTGATAGCTGAATGATGTTCAAATTGTGACTGCGGCTGATATATAAAAATGGACCTGAGGCTTTATTGTAATGGTACAGTGGGTAAATTGCAAAGTACAGTAAGACGTATCTGGTCTTTGCTGCATATACTCTTGCTTGTCCAGTGCCCAGTGAAGCAGATGGAATAAGTGCAGGAGGCATGCGCTTCTCATTGCTCTATAATTGATGTGACACATCACAGAACGACAAGAGAAACTCTAGAGAAAATGAACACTTGGCCTATTTAGAGATTCTCGGTGGAGGCCATCAGATTCTCAGGCTCTAAGACAGGAGATTTCTTTTGTTTTTTTGCTTCTAAACCAAGAACTTTTGAGTCAAGCTCAAAAAAAATCGTAAGTGACTGATTAGTGAGTAACTTCCGATTTAGTTTTAAGTCATTTCTGAAAATTACTTTTCAGACTTTGAGAACAACATTGTCAGAAAATTGTGAGGATTACAACACTTTCACCTTGTATTTTGGCCTTTAGAGTAATGCTATATAAGCTTGGTTTTGAATGTGTCATCTAAAAAGCCTCAAATGCAAAACCACAAATGTTTTTTGACTTTGCAGCAAGGTCCACTGCTGTAGATGTTTGAATATGGTCCGCAGCTCTGAGGACTGCACTATGTGGGTGCAGATCTGGGTCTAAGGAAAGAAGCAAGCTCACCTTGACCTATCTAGCTCACAGGAAAACTACAGAAAGACAAAAGAGCCAAAATAAAAGCACAGTTGGACAATGTTTGGTTTTTTTTTCCTTATAACTCTGTTCATGTGTGCTAAATGAGGAGCAAAAGACAACACTTGAAATGCAGGTTGGTTTTTATGCCATCTTTGTGTGATCATCTTCCTTGCTTGAGCATCATAACTGTGCTCAGTTTCCTTCAAACCAATCAATCATTGCCTACAGTCCATCTGCCTAGGATCATAATAGGACATTAAACTAAGTAGATGCTGATTTTGGCTTCACACTTTGGAACAAAAACAAGAGATCAAGCAAAAACAAAAATGAAAAAAAACAACAACAACAACACAGATCAAAGCAAAATATGAACAAATGGATTTAATGTTAGTGTGTGACATACACAGCAGTTGTAGATGGCTCTGTTGGTCATTGTGTTCTCTGTACTTTCAGAGAAGGACGCATTAATTGAGCTGAAAATGCCAACAAGCGCAAGGAGTGTGTGGAAAAAATGCAAAAATAAAGCTGTTTGATGTTTTTATTTCTCGAGTTCAAGAACAGATTGACTGTAAGTGCTTCGAAACGTGACCGTGTTTTAAGATTTTAATGATGGAGCCTGAGGAGTGAGAGGCTTCAAGTTACAAATGTACAGAGGTGTTAAAGGTCTCTCTGACTAGCAGAGGGACTGAAGTGCAGACGAAGAAAAGACTTGCAATTATGGTGATTGTGTAAAAAGACTGTTTAGACACTGCTCTGTAGCAAACAGATGGAGATTCACCAACAAGCACATAGCCCAGTTACATTAATCTAGAAGAATATGCCGCATAATGAGATCTTACACAAAACTGTCGTGCCAAAAATAGTTTCTTTGTGCTGTGTGTGTGTGTGTGTGTGTGTG